CCAGCTGAACGTAGGTACGGGCTCCGAGTGCAAGACAGATGTCGATGACACTGCGGATGTCGATGGCGCTTTCAACCACCAGCTGGACGTAGGTACGGGCTCCGAGGACATGACTGAGGTCAATGACACTACGGATGCCAATGACATTTTCCTCCACCACGGGGCCGTCGACACGAACACCCAGGACATCGGGAAGGTTACGGAGGAGATCGGCGACGAGGAGGAGCCAGGAGGTACACATCATAATTCACCAGCTCGTCAACGAGAGGATTACCGTACAGGCCGGGTGACTTTCGAGAAGACGGGGATTTTGGAACGAGGGAGCTGCCAGTACAGCATTTTTGGCGGCATCCAGCTCTGCGAGGCGGAGGAGCGCCGTCGAACTCGATGGACACGTTCCTCAAGGCGCTGAGCGGCCTCATGCAGAGCTATTCCGAAGCGGGTAGTGCAGGAGCGGGGACAACGCCGGCGAGGCCGGGGGGGAGGTGGAGGACGCGCAGACAGCAGCAGAAGCAGGAGGGCCTGGACGAGCTCATCGCCCGGCTCCGCAAGATGCTGGACGACGCGGCCAAGGCAAAGTGGACCATGGAGAGGCTCGTGAATGGGCTGACCGAGGCGGTCGCGCAGGCCAAGCAGAAGCAGGCGCAGCCGGCCGGAGCCCAAGCGCAGCAGGAGCCCCGAGGCAAGCCCGCGGGCAAAGGGAAAGGCGACAGCAGAAGGCAGGAGGAGAAGCCACCAGCAGCGCAGCCAGGAGCGCCAAGAGGCGGGCGCTGGGCTAGAGGCAAAGGGAGAGGCAAGGAGGGACAGACAGAGGAGGAGGAGACCAGAGGAGGCAGAGGCCAAGGAAAGGAGGAAAGAAAGCATGAGGAGGAGGAGGCGCCGAGGCTGAGCAGGCTGGCTTGGACCAAAGGCCAGGTGCTGCTGGGACCCAAGGCCTTCGAAGCGCTGATGGATGCCGAGGACCCGGCGCAGGCGGCGAACAAGGTGAAGGCTATCGTGGCCAAGCCGGGCCAGGTAAACGAGATCCTCGACCTCGCGAGGTCTTACGCTATCACTCACAAGATCGGCGTGGTCTTTGCCAAGGAGGTGGACGGGGTCAAGAGCCAGCTCAAGTGGCTCCGCGTGGAGGGACAGGCAGGGCGTGGAGATAAGCTCAAGAGTCTGCACGTTGCCCCGGTAGCTGCGGCCGGACTTCCGCTGGAGCTCGCCGGAGAGAAGGTCAAGGCCTCCAAGGGGTCGAAGGCGGCAGAGGACGCGGCTGCCAAGCAGACGACGGTCATGCGCATCACCATGGTGAAGAAGTACATGACCGACTCGGCGTGGAGGGCGAGCCCGGTTACATCGCTTCACTCGTAAAGGAAGGCGGACGGCATCATCCGCACATACGGGTATCGTCTCCACGAGGCGGGCGACGACATCTGCCGCTCCTGCTTCGTGACGGTGCAGGAGGACAAGGTTCTGGACCTCCTGAGGTAATCAGGAATTGGAGGTATATTTTCCGAGCGGCTTGTTTGCCAAGCGGGCCGTGCAGCGGTCGATTGGAAGCCTTGGGAAGATGGTGAGAAAAACATCGAATATCTGGAAAGACTGCTGCGGCGCGGTGGCACTCAGTATGGCCTGGCTTTCCGCCGCGGGGGCAAACAGCAGCTTGGGTGGCGAGAGCCTCCAGGCACCGCGCCTCGCAGGCCAGATCGTGCAGTGCCGTGGGAAATCACAGGTACTCCGGCTAGCTGGGGGGCCAACGACGTGAGCACGTACTTCACGGAGAACGATTGGACTGAAGTATCCTTGATACGTCCCCGCTTCAGGAATAAAGGGTGGATATTCCGCATGAAAGCTCCCGCTGAAGTTCGGGACTACAGCGTGTGGCAGATCCACAACCACACCATCACGGTGGTGCACGACACCTGGCAGCAGAAGGGCATGACCACGAAGATGATCAACCCGCGGCCCGGCGTCGTCAGGCAGGACCTCCACGAGCAGGAAAAGGAGCGCAAGGCCAAGGCGGACGCAGCGAAGCCGTGGGCGAAAGCAGCAGCTGAGGAGGAGGAAGAGGAGGAAGAGGGCGAAGCCATGAAGGAGGAGACGCCGGCAGCAGGGAAGGCAGAGGAGAAGGCAGAGGAAAAGACCACTCCACCTGAAGTGGGTGAGAAGAGGCCGGGTGAGCAAGGCGGCCAAGCAAAGAAGACGAAATGCATCAACGTCTACGGCTACCAGGGCTGGGATCTGGGCGGGAAGGGCGACTGCCTGTACCGCGCTGCGGCTGCCTCTGCCGCGGCCCTGGAAGGCCGGAAAAAGGAAGACATCGAAAAGAACATCGCGTCTCTGGGCAAGAAGATCCGGGCAGAGACCACGGGCCTCATCCGCAAGCACAGCTTGTTCAAGGGCGTCTGGGTGGCGGATCCCAACGCGTCGGTTCGCTGGGAAGGCGGGCCCATCCCCGCCACCTACCAGGAGTGGGTGGACGCAACTGCCCGGGAAGGCCGCTACGCATGTGAGCATACGGCGGCGGTGCTGGCCTTGCGGCTTGAAAGACGCCTTGTCGTATTCTACTGGCACCAAGGCAAATGGGTGAAGGGCTGGGTGATCAGTCCACCCGAGGGGGCGGGCAACGCCGCCATAGAGAAGAAGCGGTCTAAAGCAATGGGCCGTGCGCCAATACCAGTGGCCCTCAAGGACGAGCACTACGTCGCCCTGCACTTGAAAGACGGGCAGAAGGAGTGGCCGCTGGAGTGGGCCGACCCCCCGGAGGAGGACTTCGCGACGCAGCTGCTCCGAGGTGCAGGCCACGGAGAAGACGAGGAGGACCAGGAGGTGGCAGGATGGCTGCAGCAAGGCAGCGACTCTGAGGAGGAGGAGGCAGAGGCACCAGTTGAAGCCGAAGGAAAAGAGGAAGACAAAGAGGAGGACGAGGATAGGGAAGAAGAAGCGAGGAGGAGGACGAGGAGGAGAGAGGCAAAGAGCAGCAGGAGGAGGCTCATGAGGCAGAGCAGGAGGAGGCGGCGAGCCTGGGCAGCTGGCTCCGCAGCACAGCCGCCGGCTCCACAGCAGGAGGCGTGGCCGCCACTGGGTCGTGCTGGGACTCGGTGAGCGTCGCCGCCCACGGTGGCAAACGCCGGCGCCTCCGCGGCAAGCAGACGGCGCCGGCGCCTCCCGCCCTCGCGGGCCCGCCGCCGGGCTGGGACGAGCCCCCTCCGGCCCCGCACGCCGCGCCGAGGCCACTGGTCAGGGGCAGCGCCGAGTGGGTAGAGCACAAGAAGTATGTGAAGCGGTCGTACTATAGTCTACCAGAGACAGGGCGGCACCCTCAGCGAGTACAGGGCGCGCCCAAAGACCACCGAGTGGCGCTGTCCAATCTGTCCGGATTGGCGCACGTCGGCGAAGACGCCGAATATGCTGCATTACAGGCGGAACCGGCACGTGGACCGGGAGCACCCGGACAAGCCGCGCAGCTTCTTCAACAAGAAGAACGGGACGCTGCCCACCCTCAAGGCCCTGAGCGACGAGGAGTGGCGTGAAGCCTTGCAGCTCCCCATGGGGCCGCTGCCGAAGATGGCGTGGACGTGCCAGGACTGCGGAAAGAGCCTCCCCTTCCAGAGCGACAACTCTCGGTCCATCATCGACAAGGCTCGCCGTGCCCACCGGGAGGCGGAGCATGGGGTGAAGTGGCAAACTGCGACAGAGTGGAGAAGGAGGCAACGGGCGGCTGGCAGGAACTACCTGCCCAACGGCTCCCTGACGCAGACGCAAGCGGCAGCGTCCGCCTCCTCTTGACAGGCGGAGCCGGCCCCCCTCCCTTCCGAGGGGCCCCTGCCGCGCGGTGCGCTACCCCGCGGAGGGAGCAAGGAGGGGAGGCCGGCACGACGAAGCCAGCGAGAATCGTTTTTTTCGGGCCCTCGGGGGCCCCCCTCGTCGCCGCGGCTGGACGCGGATCGGAAAACTGGTGCTCCTGGCGGAGCTTCGTCGCCACGGCTGGGCGCGGAGAGGAAAACTGGTGGTGCGCCGGGCGGTGTAACCGCGCGACGCCCCGTCTGGACTGTCAACGTTGGCTCAGACACTGGACTTTGGAAGGCCGCCCGGCTGGCTGCCGAGCGGAATGTGGAAGTAGCATGCTTCCAGGAAACCTCACTGTCTGAGAAAGACTTCAAGAGCTTCAGGAAATCCATGTTCAAGCACGGCTACAGGGCGTACCACCAGGGTGGCAATGTGGCGGAGGGCACCACGCAGCAGATCCACAGCGTAGTGACCATTGTCAGCAGGAAGCTTCGCTCCAAACAACTGTGGAGCCGGGGAGGGCCCGAAGGGCAGATCCTGGCGACGGTCGTGGAGGGCGTGGTGCTGTTCAACACGTACGTGGTCCCCGGCGTCGACGAGGGGGCCATCATGAGGGAAATCAGCGACGTTGTGCAGGTCGACAGGCTGACGTCCTGGATGGCCATCGGGGATTGGAACCAGTTGCCAACGCAGGTGCTGGTCCCGCGCGCCTGGTGCTGCATTGAAGCGGTCAAGGATAAGAACGGCGACTACCTCCCTACACGCTGGAGGGGCCACCGGTGCATCGACTACGGGGTGAGCTGGGCCATGACAGTCACGGGCCACGAGCTGATCGAGGACGCGATCAGCGACCACATCGTCGTGCAGATGCTTGTCGACTTCCGCATGGAGGGCGAGGAGGTCGAGGAGTGGCGCTTGGCGAAGCACCGCGGGGTCGCCATGCCGCCGGCCTCGAGCAAGGAAGAGTGGGTGGACATCACGAGCAAGCTGGGGGACAGCACGCAAGGTTATTACCACGTGCAGAGCGGCATGAAAGCGGCCGCAGATGGCGTCGAACCAGGGTCCTGCGAGGCCCGCCGCCTGGTTGACCAGAAGTGGGCGGAACTCAGCCACGCCATGGAGACCTGCATGGCCCAAGCTCGTGCCATGCTCACAGACACAGAGTGGGATTGCGCCGCTGAGGACCCGGAGAGAACCGGTTCGGACGGTCGCAAAAAGCTGAAGAAAAACGAGTTCCGGCTCGAGCGGGTGCGGCACGGACGCGCCGCAAGCTGCCTGGAAGCCACCTTCCGGGAGCGCCAGCTCGCCAACGCCCTCGCTCGGCTACGGCGCCTCGCCTACCTGCAACAGCGCGGCGCCGGCAGGGAGGCAGAGGCAAGGCGACTCCGAGAGAAGGCGAAGCGGTACCTCGAGCAGACTGGGGACACCGCCTTGGCTCAGATCCACGCTGTGCAGGACAAGATCGTGGAGCTCGAGGGCCTGCTGCGCTCTGAGAGGGACCGGGCCAAGGAGCAGAGGCTCGCGAGGTGGCGGGAAAGTCTCAGGACATCCCGCCGGAAGGCCCACAGCTGGCTCCGGGGGCACATCCCGCCAGACACCATGATCTACGAGCAGGACAGGGAGGAGGCACCGGCGCAGTCCATGCCGGAGTCGCTCGGATTTCTGATCAGCCGCTGGCGCAAGGTGTGGGACCGGGAGCTGCCTCCCGAAGCGGCATGGCGAGCCAAGGTGGCGGAGTGGGGCCCGCGGCACCAGGAGGAGGTGTGGGCGCCGCTCGAGAAGGAAGACGTGCGGACTGCACAGGACAAGATCCGCGGAAGCAGCGCGGGCCCTGACGGGTGGACCAGCGAGGAGGTGGCGGACGCGATCTTTGCCACAGAGGCTGTCGCTGAGTTCTTCAATCTCTGCGAGACAGTGGCCGCCCTCCCATCTGGATGGCAGAAAGAGCGCCAAGCGCATTTGCCCAAAGAAGATGTGGCCGAGGGCAAGGCACTGCCGGCCGAAGCTGTCCGACCCATCTCGGTGAGCAGCTGCTGGTATCGGCTGTGGGCAGGAAGCCGGCTCCACAGCGCGGCCAGCAGGCAATGGCAGCGGCGGTGGTGGCCAGAGCGTGCCTTCGGCGCCAAGAGGGGCGCTTCTGTGAACGACGCTGTCCAAAGTATTATCGTTGCAATGGAATAGGGCGAATACGCTACATTTTGGGATTTTTCTCTCTGCTTCGACACAGTGCAGCCCGCGTGCGCCGCTGTCGCGCTGCAGCAGGCGGGCATGCCGAAGGCCATCGTGGCGATGCTGACCCAGCAATGGGAAAACCAGGAGCGCTACATGCAACTCGCCGGGATCACGCACCCGCAGGCGCAGGAAGTGCGCACTTCCCTGCCCCAGGGGGATCCGTGGAGCCCGCTGGCGCTCACATGTCTGCTCGCCGGGCCGCTGCGGGAGCTGGAGGAGAGGGTGCCCAACGTCACCACCACCGTCTTCGTCGACGACAGGACGTGGACAGCGCGCCGCCTGGAGGACCTCCTGGCCGCGGCGCAGCTTTGGCGAGCCTGGAGCGCTGCTCTGGGGCTCAAGGAAAACGCCCTGAAGGAGCAGTGGAGCCACTGGGACCCTGCTGGCCGCCGGAATCTTCAGAAACATGTCTCGCCAGACACCGTGGCGGACAAGCTGGAGGTGTTGGGCATGAAGATCACGGGAGGGAAAAGGAGGAAGAAGTGCCGCAAGGAGGTAAAGAGGCTCGACAAGGCCTCCCAGCAGACGGCCAAGGCAGCACTTCTGCCACTCCCGCCGAGAGAAAGGAAAGAGGTGGTGGAAGCTGGGCCTCTCGCCTCTGCTCAGTACGGCTGGGTTTTCAACACGCCGAACATCCAGACCACCAATCAGATTCAAAGCCGTGTGCACAGAGCTATCGATTTTCCGATTCACGCGCCGCGGCCCTTGAAGTTGTTGATTTTGGGACATCGCTCTGACGTGCGGTACAGGTGCCAGCAAGAGGCCATTCTTGGAGTTGTTCGCGCCATTGCTAAGGGCCTGGCCGGGAACGACCCCACAGGGGAGCTGCCGTGGAAGGAGACCACGGGCTGGTCAGGCGTCCTGGCAAAGCACTTGGCGTGGACAGGCTGGCGGTGCGTGGACGAGTGGGTGTGGAACCACCAGGGAACAGAGAAGACCATCACGCTCCGGCGAGACCACCCTGAGTGGCGAGAGCCGGGACAGGTGGCGCACCTACTTCGGGAAGCCTGGCGTTTCTCCAACTTCCAGGAGTTCGTGAAAGGGAGCCGGCGGGCTACGGTGGCGTGCGACGACGCCGAGTACGATCCGCTCAGGTACAAGCGCATGCTCAAGCTTGTGGAAGAGATACCAGCAGCTGCGAGTCTTCGCCGGCGCGGTGGTGAGCCCAGAACACTACCACAGGGGCGACCTGGTTCTCGGCCGGTGTCCGTGGTGCACTGTCGAGATGGGCACCGGGAACACGTAGCGTGGGAGTGCGGGAGCAGCCGCTTCCGGCACCGTCCGCGCCAGCGACCCCATCATGGTTTGCAACGCCGGCTTCTGTGGCCGACGGCGTTGGGCGACAGGAAAGAGGTCGACCGGCAGCTCGTGGAGTGGGCTGTTTTCGTCGACCGCGTCATCAGGGACCACAGGTACGACGACGACGGGCGCCCGCCCCGGGCAGCCTGGCCTCGTGGCTGAGCACGAAGGGCGGCCATCCTTGGCCGCACCGGAGCCTTGTCACCTCGACGGCACTGCTTCGACATCAACAGGTGCAGGCGTCTGATTGCAACGCCTGCTATATCGCGGTGATCATGTGCCTCCCACAAGAGGCGATCCCCATCCGCACACGACATTCGCGCAACGGGGCAAACATCATACATCCTACCAGTTTGTCCTTGGGGTGATCTGGTGCCACGCCTGCTACATCGTGGCGGTCATGTGGTTGCTCACCTAAAAAATCGGACCCAAAAAGTGTGCAAACATAGTGAGACATCGACCACACTCCGGTCGCGAACGGGCACGGCCCCTTCTAGGATGACTACTTGCCACGCCTGCCTTGTCGCGGCGACCATACGGCTCTCAAGACGAAGCGTCTGTCCCGCACAGCGGGCAGACCGCCACAATCTGGGCGCGCACGGGCAGGTGTGTTGCTCCCTGGCGGCTCCTTGTCGGGGTGCCCAAGTGGGACCAGGGCTAGATCGTGCAGGCCATGCGTTTGTTGTGTTTGCTTGTGTTCGGAAAAACTGTATGTCTTGCCGAGCGAAGAAGCAGACTGGAACATCCTTATAATGAGACCGCGGACGGACACGTGTCCGACCCCCTGGCGGTTGTTTCTCGGGGCGCCCAACTGCCACGCATTCGCGCGCCTGTCAAACCATGGGTGTGTGTTCCACCAAACGACCACTCCCAGGCGGCACCTTCTTGGGGTACCGTACTGCTACGTCTGCTACATCTCGGTGAGCCTACTGCCGCGCATGAGCGCATCAAGGTACGCTTTGTCGAAATATGGTTTACTGTGGGGGCGAGTGAACCTGAACGACTGCTTGCGAGAATGATGTGATCGTGTCTACGTCGGGGTGTGAGTGGGTCTGAGTGTCAGCGGGTTTGCTTACGAATGCGTCAGGGTGTCAGTGGGCCTGCCGTGCGTATGACACGTGCGTGAGGACGTCGACGGGCGAGGGGGCGGGACGGCGAGATGCGGATGTGTCAGATGCGGATGTGTCAGCAGGCGTACATCCCGCAATGCTAGGACTACGCCGAGCGGAGGGGGCGCGATTACGACGACAGCAGCTGGGGCTGAAGAGAGCGGTACGTGGAACAAACTAGGAGGACGAGCGACAACCGATCAACCAACAAACCCACCACGCAGCCAAACACCCAAACAACAAACCCGACCAAACAACCAAACGCCACGGCATTGCCGCTTGAGACATCCTCGCACCGCGGGTGACATGACAGAAGGAGGGCGCACATAGTGGCGGGGCAGAAGGGGAGGGCGGAGACGGGAATAATCATAAAAAATACCCCAGTGCGACCCTACCTAGAAGTTGGAGCCCCTAGGAAAGCAGCATTAGTTGCTATGATATGATATGTTATGCCATGCTATGCTATGATATGCTCTGCTATGCTGCGCTATGCTGTGCTATGCTATGCTAAGCTATGCTGCGTCATGCTGCGCTGTGCGATGCTAAGCTATAGTATGCTATGCTATGCTAAGCTGCGCTATGCTATGCTATGCTATGATATGCTATGCTATGCTGCGCTGTGCTATGCTGTGCTGTGCTGTACTGCGCTATGGTATGCTATGCTATGCTATGCTGCGCTATGCTATGCTATGCTGGACTATGCTATGCTATGCTGTGCTGCGCTATGCTGTGCTACGCTATGCTATGCTATGCTGTGCTCTGCTATGCTAAAGCTCAGCGAAGCCAAGATGATGGTAAGCTAAGCTAAGTTAAACCTGAGCTAAGATGAAGCTAAACTAAGCTAAGATGAAATAAGCTAAGATAAGATGAGATACGGAACGCTAAGCTAAGGGGACGTAACTGGGGGAACCGCGGGGCGGATCCTGGGGGAACCGCCCGGGGCGATTTACACTGCCCGGCCCTTTAAGCTCTAAAGTAAGAACCCTTCTAGGCAGAGCCTAGGTAGGGAATGAAGAATTATCCCAGTGCGACCCTACCTATGAGTTGGAGCCCCTAGGAAAGCAGCATTAGTAGTAACAGAAAAGCTAAGATAAAGCTAAGCTAAAGCTAAGCTAAAGCTAAGCTAAAGCTAAGCTAAAGCTAAGCTAAAGCTAAGTTAAAGCTAAGCTAAAGCTAAGCTGACGCTAAGCTAAAGCTAAGCTGAAGCTAAGCTAAAGCTAAGCTGCTAAGCTAAAACTAAGCTAACGCTAAGCTAGAGCTAAGTTAAAGCTAAGCTAGAGCTAAGCTGAAGCTAAGCTAAAGCTAAGCTGAAGCTAAGCTGAAGCTAAGCTGAAGCTAAGCTAGAGCTAAGCTAGAGCTAAGCTAAAGCTAAGCTGAAGCTAAGCTGACGCTAAGCTAGAGCTAAGCTGAAGCTAAGCTGAAGCTAAGCTGAAGCTAAGCTAAAGCTAAGCTAAATCTAAGCTAAAGCTAAGCTAAAGCTAAGCTAAAGCTAGGCTAAAGCTAAGCTAAAGCTAAGCTAGAGCTAAGCTAAAGCTAAGCTAGAGCTAAGCTGAAGCTAAGCTAACGCTAAGCTAAAGCTAGGCTAAAGCTAAGCTAAAGCTAAGCTGAAGCTAAGCTAGAGCTAAGCTAAAGCTAAGCTAGAGCTAAGCTGAAGCCAAGCTCAAGCTAAGTTAAAGCTAAGCTAGAGCTAAGCTGAAGCTAAGCTGAAGCCAAGCTCAAGCTAAGTTAAAGCTAAGCTGAAGCTAAGCTAAAGCTAAGCTAAAGCTAAGCTAAAGCTAAACTAACGCTAAGCTAAAGCTAAGCTGAAGCTAAGCTGGGTGAACCCAGGGGGCGCAACTGGGGGAACCGCGGGGCGTGGACTGGGGGAACCGCCCGGGGCGCTTTACACTGCACGGCCCCTTTAAGCGAAGAGCGTAAGAACCCTCTAGGCAGAGCCTAGGTAGGGAACAACAGAATATGCCCCCCCCGCAAGGCAAGAGCGCTATTTAAGACCTCCCCGCCCCCTTCGGCGGCCGGAGCCTGGATCGAAGGGGCGAGGAGGGAAAGACAGGGCGCCGTCAAACGCCGGGGTGCGATTACGACGGCAGCGGCTGGGGCTGAAGGAGGCGGCACGGGGAACAAACTAGGAGGACGAGCGACAACCGATCAGCCAACAAACCCACCACGCAGCCAAACACCCAAACAACAAACCCGACCAAACAACCAAACGTCACGGCACTGCTTCTTGAGATTTCCTCGCATCGCGGGCGACGTGACAGAGGGAGGGCGCACACAAGAGCGGGGTCGATGAAGGGGAGGGCCGGGATGAGAAAAATACGGAAAATGAAGAACAACCAAAAATGTCCCCCTCGCAAGGCAGGGGCGCCATTCAAGGCCTCTCCGCCCATATCGGCCGCCGGAACCTGAATCGAAGGGGCGAAAACGGACAAGCAGGGTGGCGCCCAACGTCCGCGCGCAAACAGAAAGCGAAGCGGTGCGGGGGAGCGGGGCAAGACAGAATGGCTCGCAGGATGAAGTTGAAGGACAAGGACGGAACGCGCTGCAACGCACCACCGCGTGGTCCGCGCTGAACCTGGAGCGCAACGCGGACCAACCCGCCGCAAGCGAGGCCTGGCGGACGAGCCGCTGCTAACTGCAGCGCGCCACGACTACCACGAACGACCAGCCAAATCCGCGCGGCAACGGAGAAACGGAGAAACAACAGAGAACACATTGGGAAAATGAAGACCCAAACCACAAACTGGAAAACGCCATAGAAGAAGAGGAGAAACGTAATCGGAAACGGGACAGATTGCACAAGTCAAATACTCGCCCGCGTGCAGGTGACGCCCTTGTCGCAAAAGCTCGGGGCACGATGAAGGGGGCAACGCCTGCGCGTGGACTGTGGCGCGCGCGGGGCGGGGGAGCTGCATGCGCCAGATGGACCGCAGGAGCTGCGCGAAACACAAGGGCCGCATAATCCACATGGGCCCTGCGATCCGCATGGGATGGGGGTGCGGGGCGGTGCGTCGGAGCAACGAGGCCGCACGCCGCGCGAAGCGCATGGGCGCCCGCTGCAAAGGGCTGGGGGAGACGCGCGGGCAGCGCGCGGGCGATATATGAACCACATGGCCGCTTGTGCTGCCCAGGCTGCTAGAAGTGCGCGATCCGCGTGATAGTTGAACTTGCGCGCCGCCAGGCAGACCCTGCACGAGCACCGCAAGACAAGCCACCACTTTCGGCCCAATGAACACCTGGTCGCGCGCCCACTCGGGGAGACGGCCCCCGCTGCCAAGCATTCGGGCAAAACCCGCGCCGACCAAACCAACCAATCACTCAACCATGAACACACAACAGCATCACTTGACACGTCTCCACAATGCGGGCGCGAAGATTGAAGGAGGAGGCACGCACCTTGCAACTTTATTTCCTTGCTCGACAACGACGGGGGCAGAGACCAAAGCGACCGACGAATCCAACCGCGCGGCCAAAAGCCTCGGCGCTGTCGCTTGCGAGTTCCTTGCCACGCGGGCGCCAAAGCAGGGGCAACGCGTGCATCCAGCAATGTTGAATAGCAAGGCAGGGTTGGCGAGGAGGGAAGAGAAGGAACGGACGAATCAAGAAGAGGAGGAGCAGCAAAAAGACCGGACACGGGCACGGCGTCAGGCCTCCCGCCCCCCCATCGGCTGCCGAAGCCTTGCTCGGACATCCCCAAACTGGGCTCGGAACGCTGTCGGCGCGCGCCACCGCGGGGGAGGCGGAGGGAAGGGAACGACGGCGCGCCATCCCACGCCCATCCGCCGACAAAACGCGAGGGGGGGACGGGGCATAAGGGAAGGGCGCGAGGAGGGACAGGGAAGGAACGCGCTGCAACGCACCGAAGCGCGGCTGCAGCAGAATGCTTGGAACAGCGACAAATGTGCCTGGAACGCAACGCAAGCAAACCGGCCGCCAACGAGGCCCAACGGACGAAACGTGGCTAACTACAGCGCGCCCCGAAGCCCAAGTGGCCAGCCAAATCCGCGCGGCATCATCAAGGCGGAAGAACAAAAGAGAGCCATGCGGGAAAAGGAGGACCCGAACAACGAGCGGGAGAGCGCAGGAGAGAGCGGGGAGGTAGATACTCAGACGGGCATGGACTGCACAGGCCACATGTACGCGGAGGTAGAGCCTCTCAAGAACGAAATGCTGCACATGCGACAGCAAGAAAAAATGCTTCGCGACGGGAGATCGCCATGTATGCATCGGTCAGCTGATCCTCCTCCTCCTCCTCCTCCTCCTCCTCCTCCTCCTCCTCTTCCTCCTCCTCCTCCAGCCGCTTCATCGGTTTGTCACACACACACACCACACGCGGCTACTGTACATTCAGGGGACACAGTACAGAGCGCAGCGGGATGGATGGTTCTCGTGTCTGGGGCCCCTTCCGCCCATACGGAGAGAAGGAGCACGCCTTTCGGACCAGGACGGTGGCTACTCGCCGTTGTCGCCCTGGTGCAGGCATTCAGTTTCAACATGGCGGGCATGCGGCCTCCTCCCCCTCAGCTCTTCCGGGATGTGCACTTACAATCCGATGCAGCTCACGGGGGCGACGAGGGCCTTGGAGATTTCGGAAGAGTTCGCCAACATGAACGTGATTTTTCTTCCAGGAACAGGCCGACGACAGCCGAAGGACTCGGAGCACAGCCCATATGTGGGAGATCTCCTTCGGCTGGACGAGGGCCTCCAACAAATGTTGCGGGACCAGCATTTTCATTCACCGCAAAAGACTACCGAGCAATTTTCTGCGCAGAATGTATACACCACCTGCCAGATTGGCAGGACGCTGCGGGGCGGTCCGCCTCAAGTCTGGATCGTCGGGCCTTCAACTGATTGTGCTGTATTTTCCAGTGAAGTATTCTTGTCGTGCCTCCCGAACGCACTACAGAACACGGGTGCCAGATATGATTTCATGGACACGTAAGCTGATCGAGGGAGTGGGGGCCAGGTGCACACCGATCATCAGAGCCGACTTAAACGATCGTATGGGATTTTCTGACGAAGACTGTTTCGAGGGCGAGTTAACGATCGGCACCGACCCGCACTCCGAGGAAGAGGACATGTCTGTGGGCGTGGTGGCTGCAGAAAAGGAGGGGCTCGCCGCGCGCCTGTGGCACAAATGTTTGATCGATTGCAAGATGATGGCGGTAAACACGTGTTTTCCTGCAGGCGGCACCTTTTTCGGACAAGGAGGGTACAGCTCACGCATCGATTTCACTCACGTACCCCAAGGATTGCGACCCTACATCAAGAATAGCAAAACATTGGCGGCTGCAGGTCATAGATATACAAGTTATCAACACACTGGACACGCGGGACCACAGACACCCCTATATCGAGTTATCAACTCACCCTCGCCATACATGGGACTATGACAGAATGATGGGCATGTTGCGGGGTGATGAGTACTGCTGCAACCTGATCGAGACACTGCACCAGACGATCACGGACATCGAAGAGGAGAATTGGGTCCGCCTCTGCAGCAGACCCAACACGGACGAACTATGGAATACGGTGGCCTCCCAGATCACGCAGACGGCTCAGTTGGAACTTGACAAACCCACGTCGGCCGAGCAGGAGAAGTCGGAGCTCGAGAAGGAGAGATCTCAACTACTTGATAGACGCAAGCGACTTAGACAGCTTATCGGGGGCGAACACTCAGACCGAGTCGAGGTAGAATTATCCCTGGCTAGACTGACGTTCCGTATCAGGAAAGTTACTAGACATATTACTTTGGAAAGAAACGCTTCTCTAACGGATGAATTGAATGCTGCGTGGGAACGTGATGACCACGCTACAACACAGGTACTCATACGACGCCTTTCCCGAAAAGGACGAGGGCCTCGCAATCGGAGGTATTTTGCTGCTCGGGAAGAAAATTGCGAGGCTGAAGACATCAAGAACTTCCTGAAACTACCTGCCGCTGAAGGCGGGATGGGAGGCCACGATTGCGATCGTACCCAGGAATTGGCTACACGTTTTGAATCACAGCACGAAGGGGAAGATCGACACAAGACCGACCAGTAGATTTATCGCACTATGCAATGCGTTTATTTGGAACAGGCCAAAGAGGATCTACGAGGAATCATTACTCAATTGAGGAGGACATCAAAACGACGAGCGAGAGCGAAGTGGTCTGTACCTGCGGAGTTATGGCTTTTACTGTTGGACGAGGAGAAATGGACTAAGTTTACTAAGGGCGGCCTGGATTGCGAGTTACGACCCGTCACGGCACAGGGCTTCACGGAGAGATTTGTGGATGTGCTGGCGAGCTTTAGAAGAACTTCTACAACACCACTACTATTTGATATTTCTTCATGTATTGGGCTGGATAAAACGTACGAAGAAGAAAGGACCTGCAGGGCAACGCTGGATACATTTGTGTTGCCCGATTGGGAAGTCTTGGAATGCATAGGTATGGCGCCGCGGACACAAGCATCGGCCTCACCTCCCGTACTGCTGTCATGGGTTTGCCAGACACAGACACAGGGAGGACGCCATCACTGTACAGTCTTGTGTTTCGTGGCGCCTTCAGCGCCAAGGAGTGTCTCACGCCATAATAAACGAGGACGCCACGAACGCCTTCGCCAGTGTAAAAAAGAGAAACTATACTCGACACCATAGGCGACTTGTACGATCCTGAAGACCTTCGCTCTCAGCACTCCAGGACGATCCAGGGAGCCCTTCATATCGAAACGCACTCTGGACCCTTGGCTCTCAGACCCACGAGTGGCGAGATGATGGGGTATCCAAACCCTGCGCGAGCGTTCCCGTATTACTACCAGAAAAGGATCGAGCCGTTCCTGGCCTTCCGTAACTCCACTAGCTCTGCCCACTACGCTATCGCATACGAGCCCGAGGACGTGTCGACAGATGTGGGCATAACTATCTACGCGGATGACATCACTAAGTGCGTCATCCCTGGCCAGGCAACCTGCGATGCGAAGACTTTACTGACGATGGCAGCCACGAGCAGTCGAGAATTATCCAAGCATCTCGGGACGCTCGGGGTCTGCCTGAACGATGACAAAGGAGCTACCCGGGCTAAACTGCTCGGGCAGGGAAGCATAGGACACCGCCGTAGTCTACATCGCGGCCTGATGCCTCAGTCTGGCAAGTGTCGCCGCTTTCTCAGAATCCTGGGGGGATGGCTCACTACTTCGGGCTCCTTTGGAGGTAGAACGGGCTAAACGTCTCCAGGCGGGCAGAACAGGAATAGGTATGATTTCAAAGTTTCTTTAACCCGACTCTCCGACGAGCGCCAAGCGCATGTCCAGTATTGTTTGTGTACTGTCGACATTGCTATCGGGCATGGAAGGACGGATTCCAGACATTTCCTACACCTCCGCCTCGGACCAGATAATGCTTCGTGCCTTTCGTAGAGGGCTAGGGGTTCGAGGACGTTCGGAATATGAGGGAGGGGAACTTCGGAGTGGTCGGCAAAGCGACTCTGGGACTTCTGGCGTATACTCCCGACGGCTCTGGAGCTCCAGGTCAGACGTATTAAATGGTACCAAACGTGGGCTCGATTTCCTTCTTGCCACCGCCAGGTGCGAGCTGCCGTCTTGGGGAGTTTTGGGGGATGACGACTCGATCGACGATCAATGGAACCTATTGCCAACTGCGAACCCGTGGACTAAACAAGTATATGACGATGTTAAGTTCGCTTACGAATCGTCCGAGGAGTTCCAGGACATAGTTCCCGACGGTGTCCCCCTTCTACGTCTGTTTCATTGCCAGGATTATCGTAAATGGGTGGACATCGATTTCACGATTATTCGGGCAAGCTATTTTTCGAAGTCGTTTCGACCTCTGGAGGCCCCTGAAGGACTCCCGAGCGAGGTGGAGGAGGAGATGGACAAGGGGGACGACCGACCACGGCCATATGAATGTAAGGTTCGACTCGAGGACGGTAGTGTTTGCGGTGAAATGTTTTGCACGATGAAAAGTTTACTTCTACACGCGGGAAGATCACAATTGATTAGGAATGAAGCGTCTCTACGGACGGTCACAAACCAATGCTTTAGATGCCTACAGACACTCAGCACACGAGAGAACGCACAACGGCATGTGATGAGATCGTATCAGCGAAATGTTTGCTATCACGGTCGCAGCTCTTATGGACCTCAAGAGACAATTATTCCATCGAGTCTGCAATGTCCTGTATGTAGCTTCGTGGCTGTCTTTACACCACCTGCAGCTACCCATTCGGGAGCACTGTGCCCTGCCTCCGCCACGTATCGTACGACCCCGACTTCGCCTGCGCCATGAGCCACATGGACCTATCGGTGCTCCTCAAGCGCCACAAACCCACGGGGGACGAGGTCAAGGACAGCGAGGTCGCAGATGGGAAAGAGCGGAAGAAGGCGAAGCTAGGCGAGCTCGCAGAGGAGGCAGAGAATGCTCTAGTATGGGCGGAAGGCGCCCTCCGCAACAAGGACATGCAGGCAGCAGTGGTCATCTTACTCCAGATGGCGTGTCAACACGCACAACAGTTACGAGATATGGCGGCGTCGGAGTGGATCAGTTGCATCATGCCGACATATTCCCCGCTGGTGAAAGCTGGTCGAGAGGCAGGCAAATTGTACGCAGAAGTGTCGCAGATCGCCACGGCGAAGCCGAGCTTGGGGCCACCACATTTGTACATCGCGCGCGCCGCATTCAAGTGCCTCTCGGAGCACGGTCAGGGCCAGGCGGAGAAGCCTCAGGCGCACACGCTGATGGACGCCTTTTACAAGAAATTCGTGTCGGGGGCCTCCGTCTCAGAGATGGGGCTCATGGTGCGCCACTTCCGCCTCAAGAAATGCTACAACGACGAGTACACTCGCGTCCAGTTCTCCATCGCCGATCAGATGTGCATCCCCCAGACCGAATCATCAGTAGAGATCTGCCACAGCAAACTAGAGATCGAGCAAGCCACTCTGCAGCTGATGGAGACGATGGGGGGCAAGGCGAAATTCGGAGCAGCACCCCAAGGACACCTCGAGAGCTTGGCCCAGAAGTTGATCGACAAAACCAAGGCGTCGAAGTCGACGGGCGCACGGGGCTCGAAGGGCGGAGGACGCAGGTGAGCAGCTGGGAGTTAAGATGGGCCGCATTACAGGAGAGGATACGACGCAAGGAGGCCAATCAATCAGTTTAAACTATGGGATGGAATGACCAGCATTTTTCTTACCGTCGACATGTTGCCTACTGCCTTCAAGGCTGGGAGGGATTTATCCAGACTGCAAAATGATCGGGGTGCGTTGGCACAACTTTTTGATTGAAGCTGGGCGAATGGGACGTCAAGCCCTTCGTTTTCTTGCCGAATGAGTCGAAGTAGACGCTGATGCACTACCTGAGTTGTTCAATGCAGTTGCGATGGTTCCCTACCTAGGCTCTGCCTAGAAAGGTTCTTACTCTCTTAGCTTAAAGGGGCCGGGCAGTGCTACACGCCCCGGGCGGTTCCCCTGGTCCCCTGGGAGCGGTTCCCCCCAGTCCCCTGGGAGCTTTAGCTTTAGTTTAGCTTAGTTTTAGCTTAGCTTTAGCTTAGCTTTAGCTTAGCTGTAGCTTAGCTTTAGCTTAGCGTTTCGCTTAGCTTTTCGCTTAGCGTTTAGCTTAGCTTTAGCCTAGCTTGAGCTTAGTTTTAGCCTAGCTTGAGCTTAGCTGTAGTTTAGCTTTAGCTTAGCTTTAGCTTAGCTTTAGCTTAGCTTTAGTTTAGCTTTAGGTTATCGTTAGCTTAGCTGTAGCTTAGCTTTAGCTTAGCTGTTGCTCAGCGTTAGCTTAGCTTGAGCTCAGCTTTAGCTTAGATTTAGCTTAGCTTTAGCTTAGCTGTGGCTTAGCTTTGGCTTAGCTTTAGCTTAGCTTTAGCTTAGCTTTAGTTTAGCGTTACTGTTACTACTAATGCTGCTTTCCTAGGGGTTCCAACTCCTAGGTAGGGTCGCACTGGGATATTTTTTTATTTTCCAGAAGCTGGGGAGCCCATTCAATACACTTCGGACGGCTTCGATATGTATTCTCTGACGGCCTCGACAGACCAGACTGCGGACGGCTTCCTGGACATCCACAGGGGGTGAGTCTCTATCATGAAGGCTGACGCCTGTCTTCTCGTTCTTTTTCGTAACGAGTCGTGGCTGACACGCCACCGCGCTGTGCACAAGTAATTTGCATCCTGTTCCTCGGGGTTCCAGGGACCTGGGGAGAGCCAAGGCCAAACGGCCGCGGCCCGCACCCTCAGGAGATTGGGGGACCTCCGACCCGCGCCGCCTGAGATGCCTTGGAGGATGAGAGATTATGGGGATCGGATGGGGCTTTGGATTCTCTGTGTCGCGTGGCAGAGGGGTCGGAGGCTTCCCCCCTGTTGTAGTGGAGCAGGAGGTCCGCCCAACAAGAAGGATGCGACGCGCGCAACTTCAGGGCCCACGTGTCCCGCGACCACCAGGCCGCGGCTGCACGCTCCCTCCCCCCACTCCCCCCACTCCTCTCCGCCTCTCTGCTTTTAGATCGCTCACGTTCCACTCGCGGGTGGGGAGGAAGGGAAGTGGGAGGATGAGAATTTTTGTGGACGATATGGGTTTCTCTTTTTTTCCCAACACTCCTGCGTTGGGTACTCGTTTTGAATAGAGCATTGCGGTCTCCGTTCTCCTCCTCCCGCCCCCCCCTCTCTTCCCTCCTCCCCTCCTCTCTTGATTGCCTTCTCCTCCTCTCTTCGCTCCTCCTCTTCTCTTCTCTTGCCTTTCACGTCATCCCTGGCGGGCTGCGATATGCGGAACTCTCACCACTTTCGAGGGCTGCTGGTGGGTCCAGCGGAGTGAGGCACCACGGGGACTCATATTAGACCTCGCCATCCCTGGGGGGGGGGGGCTGCGATCTGTGAAACTGTCGCCACTTTCGAGGGCTGCTGGTGGGTCCAGCGGAATGAGGCACCACGGGGACTCAGATTAGACCTCGCCATCTCTGGGGGGGGGCTGCGATCTGTGAAACTGTCACCACTTTCGAGGGCTGCTGGTGGGCCCAGCGGAGTGAGGCACCACGGGGACTCAGATTCGACCTCGCCATCTCTGGGGGGCTGCGATCTGTGAAACTGTCGCCACTTTCGAGGGCTGCCGGTGGGTCCAGCGGAGTGAGGCACCACGGGGACGCAGATTAGACCTCGCCATCTCTGGGGGGCTGCGATCTGTGAAACTGTCGCCAATTTCGAGGGCTGCTGGTGGGTCCAGCGGAGTGAGGCACCACGGGGACTCAGATTGGACCTCCCCATCCCTGCGTGAAACTGTCGCCACTTTCGAGGCTGCTGGTGGGTCCAGCGGAGTGAGGCACCACGGGGACTCAGATTAGACCTCGCCACCCCTGGGCGGCTGCGAGATGTGAAACTGTCGCCACTTTCGAGGGCTGCTGGTGGGTGGCCAGCGGAGTGAGGCACCGCGGGGACTCAGATTCTGACCACGAGCAATGCTCGCGCGCCCTTGCTCTGCGGTTCGTGCCACGTGGCGCTGCGACTCGAGCTGGCGGTCGTCCTTCGGACCCGCAGAAACATCTGCTGAGCTCGATGAGCTAGGGGAACTACAGGAAAGAAGTGCAGGAAACGGAGGCCGGTCATGCACTCGCCGATACCTCGTTGCTCTGTCATCGTCTTTGCTGTTGCATGATCCTTATCTGGCCTGCCGGCGCCGCGGCTCGAGCTGGCGGTCGCCCTTCGGGCCCGCGGGAACATCTTCTGAGACAAGTGGACGCCGCCGCCTTACTTGCAGGCAGCGCATTGCATTCGCGGACAGCAGCATGGCAGACCGCAGTGAGATCCTCAGTCGCGTGGTGTTGCCAAGCCTGGTGGAGACGCGCGTGATCGACCTGAAGTCCCAATCGCGCGTGCACTGTACCTGCGTGGCGTTCAGGCACGCGCGTGATGCTGCTCGCTCCGCGTTCAACCAGTGCGTCGCCAGTGCAACTTTGGACGATGGACAACCGATTAATGATACGCGACCCCGGCCTTGAGTTTCTTTCCCGCGGGCCGCCCGCAGACCTGGCGGCGCGCCTGCGAGCGTTCGGCTCCCGCGCTGAAATGCGCGGGAAGGAGGCGGAGAAGCTAGCGGGCGAGCTACGCCTCGCTCGTTCCTTGCACTCTAAACAAGTTTTATCATGTGGAACTCTGCGACGACATGGCGCAGGCAGCGCTGCGGGTTTAGCTCGCACTTGAAAAACGCGGCAGTCTTCTGTCTCCTCCCGCCACTTTCATCGTCGTCCTATTCCCCGCCTCACCTTCTCCATGCATGCTGCTGCTTCCGCGATGGCCTTTCGCCCCCCCCGCCCTCCATTCCATCCCTCTCCTACCCCTCGTTCCCGTACCCGTTCTTCTTCGATCCTGGGGCCTCAAGCCTCGTTCTTTCGATCGTCGGCCTGTGAATCGTGCAACGCATGCGCATCCCATGTAGCTTGCACAGCAAATCGCCGCGTCTACACTGTCGTTGTTCCTGCTAATGTTGGCATATTCCTCTTGCCATTTGATGCACGTGGGTTGGGTACGTCGCAGGGTAATTTGATCGTATCAGGGCGGGGGGGGTGTCTCGGACGCCCTGCCAGACACACAGTGTCGGCGGCTCGGGCTCAAAGAGACCCGAGGGGCATCACCCCCTGCCCAGACGAGAATCGAGTAGTTGCTTCTTTCCCTGGTGCCTGGTGCGTCGAGGGTCTGCACGGTGCGCATAACTCTGACCTCATGCATTGTCACACGGTGCACGAGTTGTTAGAGGCTGTCGAACGGTCGTATCTCACTCAGAGCGGCTGGTGGCATGATCACAGACATGCAGCGCAAGGCCGCGTCTTCTTCTTCTTCCTCCTCCTCCTCCTCCTCCTCCTCCTCCTCCTCCCTCTCCTCCGCCTGATCCTTCTCACCAACGCTATTTTCACTGGCCAGGTAGCGCGTAAATTGTTCTGCGATTCCTGTCTACGAACGTCGGAAAGTGAACGGGTATGTAAGAAACTGGGTGAGCCGAGACATCATCGCAATAAGAACGCGACATCGCCCGTGATGTATCCCCTTGCGGCCCCCCTCCTGCGGTCCCCCTATCCCACGCCTGCTACATCACGACGACCACGCAACCCTGAACAATAATAAACACGATCAAATCATAAAAGCCAGAGTTCCGCATGCGGCATCCCCACAAACTGGGCGCCAATGGGTAAATGCCCTACCCGCTAGTACATCGCGATGATCGCACAGCTCTGAAAAGAGACACGTCTCCCTCTCAATAACCAGCATTTCGCGTGAGATAACCCCACGATCTGAGCACTGACGCGCATGTGTCCTGCCCCCTGGCGGCGAACCCTTGTAGAGCCCAATCCGTATGTCTACTATGTCGTCGCGGCGCCTGCGCGGCACTGAGAAGAGACGCGTCGACATGTTCAAAACAGACGGCTCGAGTGACATGCGCGAACGCACCGGTGGTGTACCACCCGGCGCATACCCCCTGTGGCGCCCAGAAGAGATGACTGCTGCACCGCGATTACCACGGACGGAGGATAACACATGTTGAACTTCCGAAAGCCACCTGTTCGCAGGGTACGTCCCCACAATCTAGGCGCCAACGGGCAAGTGTCCGACACTCTGGCGCCCTCCCTCCCTCTCTGGGGTACCCAAGTATTCGCTGTCTTCGTGGCGGCCCTGAAAACAAAAACCGCCCACCTCGAAAAGACAGCGTCTCGCGTGAGATATCCCCGAATACTTGGCGCCAACGGGCAAGTGTCCTGTGGTCGTGCCCCCTGTGGCGCCCAAGAGCTATGGTTGCGACATCGCGAACACCACGCGGCCCTGAAAAAAAAACGCGCCTGCATCCGTAAAACAAGCGAACCGCTGGAGACATCCCCACAATCTGGGCACGAACCGGTAAGTGACCCATCCCCTGGCAGCACCCCCCTGTGTTGCCCAAATGCTGCGCCTGTTGCATCGCGATGATTATGCGTGAGATGGAGAAGGAGGGATGAGGAGGGAGTGAGTAGACGGAGGCGCGACACGGATAACAAGAGTTCACGACGTAGAAGATGGGAATAAGCTCCGCAACATCCTCCACGAGACGTGCAACTACCTGCACAATGATCC